ACCTTGAAAGATAATTAACACTTCAAATGTGTTCGACAAAAAAATTATCGATTTCATTTCTATTCGGCGAAACAAAATGAAACCCATGGAAAAAATAACTAAAATTAATGAACTTTAATTATAATTTAGTTGGAATGTTATTTATGATCATTATCGTCATCATCATCATCATCTTCATAATTCAAGAAGGAGTGGAAATCTCGTTTTCATAGAGCTCATGGAAGCCCTAAGCTCCTGGGAATTTGGAAACATTGCAACAATTGTCCATCTGCATACATAGCCAGCTCATCATCATCATCATCATCTTCGTCATCATAATTAATGACTATTTTCTGCCACTGTACCGTCCACCAAAACCCAAAGCTAAGGCGCCGACACGCATCTGCCAAAACTAATGATTAATGTGGTCATGTTTAACAATCATCTAAGACAGAACCGAAATAAACAAACAAACAAATAATGTTTTCAATTTTTTTCGGGAGACCAAAAAAGAAACAAAAAAAAATAGAGATACAAAAATAAACAATAATTGAAAGATTTTAATTATTTATTTTTCCTGTTAAGCATCACTTAACATAACACATTCGAACAGAACAAAATAAAGTAACAAAAACAAAAAAAGCTGGAGAATAATGAAAACATCAGTCAGTGTCTAGGATAATGGCAGTAGCAGCAACAAAAAAAAAAAAAAAAAAAAAAAAAACAATGAAAATAAAAAGAACAAAGCCATTCATGTTAGTGAACTTTTTTCGAAGAATTAAAACAAACAAAGAGGAGAGCCTTTTAATGGTAGAGTATGTGAAATCTGTGGAGAAGTATGGTGTCAATGGGTTGTAAGCCGTTTTCAAATTAGATTGTTACCGATTTTATTTGGTGGTGTGGGTTTAAAGGATAATGATGAATGCAAAATACAAAAAAAAAACAAGTTAAAAAGCAGTAAGTTCGGCCGGGCCGAACTTTGAATACCTTCCACCATTTGGAACGAATTTGGAAATTTAAAAAAATTAAAACCCTTAAAAAATTCTGTTAAAATTTAAAAAATACCGAATATAGCCGTTTGGGGTCTATACGACGTGGACCTACATAGGCATTGTTTGCCATTAGCCATTGCCATATTCAAATTCGAAACTTGAAATAAACGGTGAATAATGTAGCTAAAATCATCAAAATATCGAATATAGGGAGGTACCGTTATATCGGACCTTTGCGAAGACCTGGACCAGCATAGACAATTTTCTGTCACAGACTGTAGTTCCCATTACGAACTCTAAATACGTAATTTGAAACAATTCCGGTAAACAATGACGCTAAAATCTTCATAATACCGAATTTTGGGAGGTACCGTTATATGGGGGCTATACTAAGACGTGAACCTGCACAGACAATTTTCTGTCATAGGCTGTAGTATCTATTACGAATCTCAAATACCAAATTCGAAACAATTCCGGTGAATACTGTCGCTAAAATCATCAAAATAACGAATATAGGGAGGTACCGTTATATGGGGGGTATACGAAGACGTGGTCCTGTCCAGATAATTTTCTGTCATAGGCTGTAGCACCCATTTTGAACTTCAAATACTTAAGTTGAAACAATTCCGATTGGAATTCAAGGGTGATAGTGCGACTTCTTTATATTTGGCTGGAAAACCTCAGGTGGCTATCGTTAGAGCACTCCAGCATTTAAATGTGAATAAATCTTTTGGGTCTCGTACCATCGCTCCTTACCGTGATACTGGTAGCGTAGCCTGACGTCAAGGAAGTGGCCGGAAGAAAACAGCAACATCAGCAGAAATGGTTCGAAAAGTAAAGAAGCGACTTGATCGACACGCCCGCATCACAATGGCCGAGAAATGGCTCGTGACCTGAACATATAACAATATTCCATTCGGCAATGAGCTCTTTTGAAAACTGAGCTCGGGGTAAAGCCATTGGAATTCCAACAAGTGCAGGAACTTACAACGCAGCAGAAAGAAAATAGACTCAAAAGAGCGCTAGAGTTGCTTCGCTTGGCCAAAAGTGGTGAACTGCCGAATTTGGTTTTCTCCGTCTGCGCTGAGAGAACATTCGTTATCCAGCTGTTTGTAAAAAAAAAAAAAACAAAAATGATCGTGTTTACTTGCCAAAGAGGTCAGCTGAAAATGTGCACCTTCGGTTAGCCACCAGAACTCAAGCGCCGGCCATGGTGATGGTGTGGGCCGCCATAGCAGCCGATGGTCGCTCTCCGCTCGTATCAATCGACCGTGGCATCAGAATAAATGCCGAATATTATCGCGAAAATATTCTGAAGGGGGTATTAAAGCCTTGGAGGCACGCAAACATTTTGGTTACAAACCTTGGACGTTCCAATAGGACTCAGCACCATCGCAGCACGAGCCACCCAAGAATGTTTACAAAATGTGGTTCCTCACTTCATTTCCAGCGCACAATGGTCACCAAAATCTCCAGTTACCAATCCGGTGGATTATTGTGTCTGGAGTATTTTTGGAAGCAAGGTTGTCACTAAAAAATACCAAGGTGTCGATCACCTCAAGCAAGCGCCACGCCGGAAATGGGCCAAAATATCGCAGAGCATCATTCGGGCAACGTGTGACGACTATAAATTCCAGCGTGTGAAGGCCATAATTCGTGCCAAACGTGACCAATTCGAACAAATCTAAACTAATTCTAAAATTTGATGCTATTTCCGATATTTTTTGCTTTGATTTAATAAAATTTAAAAAATAAAATGTAACAATTATGGCGTTGGACTTTGTTGCTGTTATTTTATCTCACCCTGTAGGTAGGGCTCTTTGAAATATATTCTCCAAAAACTCACGACTCCTTTAGATTTTTCGAAAAAAATAAAAAAAAAAATACCTTGAATGATCCTTTAAAAATGAATGAAAAAAATTCTTGAAAAGCAATGCTTTTGGTTCGTGAAAAATATTTCGATCAAAATTCAAGATTTTCGGTTGGAATTATCCTCTACATGAATATTCTAAAAAATACACTTTTTGTATTTAGGATGGCTCTTCGATACATTTTCTTAAAAAATCCAGGTTCTGTGATTGGGAGAGCCCTTTGAAATTTTTCAAAAAAAGAAAATCAAGATTTACAGTTGGATGGCTCTTTCAAAAAAAAAAAAAAAAAAATATTTAAACCATTAAGGAAAAGTCAAAAGTCGGGTGGGGCCGACTATATGATACCCTACACCTCTATGCATATTTGGTAAAACTCCCGTAACAAAAGAATTCATTTGAAGTAGATCATACCATGTATCAACATTTGGTTGTAGAGCAGTTATAGTTTGGTTTCAGAGGGAACTAATATAGGGGGGGGGGGGGTGGCATATCGAAATTCTGAATCGATTTTCTCTAAAATCGGCGGAGACATTTTAACTTTGCTATAGAGTGCATGATGTCACTTTGAGAAGGATTTTTATTAAAAACACATGTATATCGGAGCCGCTTTCCACAAAATGGAAACGTACGTCCCGAAATTCGCTCCATTTGGACTGATATTAGCCATTATATGCGCAATAAATCTGAAATCGGATTAAGGATATGTATTGGAGCTATATCCAAAACTTAGCCGTTCTCGATAAAATTTGACAAAGTTATTTCTGAGCTCTATAAAATATTTGGTTCCAAAGATCAGTGCTGTGGAGGGCATATTACGAATGTCAGGGACTTAAACAGCAATTCGGATGAAACACATATATGGAAGCTTCTGCGCTATATCTGAACCGATTTTCACAAAATGTCATGTTCTTGCTTCTAGACAAAATTCAGGTTATTTGGACTTATATAAGTCATTTGGTGCACAATTAACCCGAATCGGTTGAAGATATATGGGAGCTATATCCAAATCTGAACCGATCTTGATAAAATTTGGCAAAGATATATTTGAGCCCTATAAGATATTTGGTACCAAATATCATTATTGTCGAACACATATTACGAATGTCAGCAAATCGGATGAAACATATGTATGGGAGCTATAGCTATATCTGAACCGATTTTCACCAAATTTAAAGCACTTGCTTCTAGACTGAATTCGATCGGATGTGCCAAAATTCAGTCCATTTGGGCTGATATTGGCCATTTGGTGCACAATAAACCTGATATCGGATAAAGATATATATATGGGAGCTATATCCAAAGCAGAACCGATCTTGATAAAATTTGATAGAGGTATTTTTGAGAAGTATCTGATCTCCTGTACCAAATATCATTCTTGTGGAGTGCATATTACGCGTGTGAGGGACTTCAAACCCCAAATCGGATAAAACATATATATGGGAGCTATAGCTATATCGGAACAGATTTTCACCAAATTCGAAGTGCTGGTTCCTAGGATGAATTCAGCCGTAATTGTCAACATTCAGGTCATTTGGGCTGATATTAGCCATTTGGTGCAGAATAAACCTGATATCGGATAAAGATATATTTGGGAGCTATATCCAAATCTCAACCGATCCTGATAAAATTTGGTAGAGGTATGCACATAGACATAATACCCTATGTGGTGTAGGGTATAAACTCATTATAGCCATCCACATTTGTATCGAAGCTACAAATATGTATCTTCATAATGTTCTGGAAATTTATTTGAAAAGAGAATAACTTTTACATTTCTCCGACAAATAGATGCAAGATTTAAAGCTCTTTCATGAATAGATAACCTTTTTACAGATCTCTACAGAATTTCCTCCTCCCAAAATCCCACTCGAGCACATTCAGAACTTTTTCAAATTTATTTTAACGACATAAGGTTTTTGTGGTCAAAAACAAAACTTTCGCTTTTAACAGTTTTCCTTAACTGAATACGAAATTCTGAAAGCAATGCAACAACAGCAACAACACCAAACTGCAACATATGCAAATAATGGAGTTCGGTTCAAACAACTAACGGGTTAATTAAAAAGTTTAGATAAAATATTTGTTTTGCGGACAAGTTTGGCAATAATTCTCTCGTTTCGTTTTGTTTCTTTGAATTTTTTTTTTGAGAACTACTCACCAGCAGAGCTTTGTAGAGGGGTAAAGTTTTGGGGCCGAGAGTAAACTCTACATAATCCTCGATGCTGCAATTAAAGTTGGGATTCAGAGGGTGGCAGAGGGGCCAGTCGACGTCAATCATGGCATTCGATGAGAGGTTGTCGTTGTGCAGGAATAGTGTTGAGGTGGCGGCATCTGTAATACTCTGGGGCAGGTAAGGATGTTGTGTCGTTGTCGTCGTTGTTGTTGTTGTGGATGACAGGACATCTAACATGGTAGTGGATGCCATTGTTTCGTTGAGTCTGTGCGTTATGTTGTTGGCCATTGTTGTCGCTGTGGCATTCAGCCATTGGGCGGCATAATCGACCACCACGGCTGAGGTGTTCATGACGATATCGTTTAATAGTGACGCAGCGGTTGCGTTGATACTAGGCTTTGGTTCCATTGTTGTCGTTGTATTTGTATAGCTACTGAGTATGTCATTATGCGGCGGATTCGTTGCAGATATAATTGTGGTATTTAACGGATTAAGATCGAAATGTTCAAGCATATTTGTTGTTGTTTTTTTTTTGTATTTTGGAAGGAGTAGTTTTTGTACGGCGGATTTTTTTGGGTGGTTCAATGCAAATTAAGACCGTTAATTTACCTCAACATTTTTGTGGTTTTTGTGGGATTGTTATTTTTTTGTTCTGAAAGTAGAAAGGAAATGGGAATAGTTTAATTAAAAAAATTAATTAAATTAAAATTATTTTAAAAATGGACTATTAAAGTTTTAAAAAAAGGAAACGAACTTCACTTCATCGGAAATGTAAGGTATCGCAGTAGAATATTTTAAGAAATTCAATTGACTAATAATATGGACCTCTTAATTTTATCCTTCACCAAGTGAAAATCTGGCTTATGACCAAATCCGATATCCTCAAGATATTGCCAAAAATTGGACCTAAACTGAAAAACATTTTTGCAGGAAAATCTAGCCTTAATGAACCCGAAAGGTCATTGTAGAGACGATTCGGTTGGAAACGTGGGCGAAAATCAGGGCTGTACCGAAAAATTGGACCTACATAGAATATTTTTGCGAGAATTCCAACTATCCACTGAGAACCCGTTTATGTTTTGGATTCTTCAAAACAAATGCGAAACTTGAAAAAAGTTGGTAATAATGTCGCTAAAATCATCAAAATATCGGAGGTTCTTGAATCAAATGTTTACAAATCAAATTTAATGTTCAGATGGTCCTTGAAAAATATTCTTTAAAATCAATATTACTTAGTAAGATGCTGCTTAAAGATCTTAAACAATTCCCGATCGTTGGCCAAAAAGTACTCGGAAAATATAAAATATCCCAGGATTTAAAAAAAAAATCGTTTGAAAACCACGATATTTGGTGAGGAGGACCTTGAAAAAATATTCTTACAATCTAAAAAGAAACAAGTAAAAAAGCATCTTAATTTGTCGGGGCCGAAGTTTACATGACCTCCACCATTTGGAAGGAACTTGAAATTTTTCAAAAAAAAAATTCCGGAATTCCACTTAAATGATAACTGATATAGGAGACTATACGAAGACGTGGACCTGCTTACAAAATTTTTTGTCGTAGGCTGTAGCATCCATTACGAACTTCAAATACCAAATTTGAAACTATTCCGGTGAAAAATGTCGCTAAAACCATCCAAATACCAAATATCGGGAGGTATCGTTATATGGGGGCTATACGAAGACGTGGACCTGCAAAGACAATTTTTTGTCATAGGCTGTATTATTCATTACGAACCTCAAATACCAAATTTGAAACAATTCCGGGAAATAATGTCTCTAAAATCATCAAAATACCGAATATCGGAAGGTACCGTTATATGGGGGCTATACGAAGACGTGGACCTATATGGCTCATTCTCTGTCTTAGGCTGTAGTATATATTGCGAACTTTAAATACCAAATTTGAAACCATTCCGGTAAATAATGTTGCTAAAATTATCAAAATACAGAATATCGAGAGGTAACGTTATATAGGGGCTATACGAAGACCTGGACCTACATGGCTCATTTTCTGTCCTAGTCTGTAGTATTTATTACGAACATCAAATACCTAATTTGAAATAATTCCGGTAAATAATGTTGCTAAAATCATCAAAATACCGCATATCGGGAGGTACCGTTATATGGGGCCTATACGAAGACGTGGACCTACATGGCCCATTTTCAATACCAAAAGTCCTGCAGACATAATACACATTTGAGTAAATTTTTATCAACTTACTTCATTTCTTTCGGAAGCTAGAGTGATTTCCACAGACAGACGGCAGATGGGGTGACGGATAGACGGACGGACATGCTAAATCGACATAGAATTTTATGCCGATCAAGAATATATATACTTTGTGGGGTCTAAAATGTATATTTCGGGATGTTACAAACGGAATGACAAACTTAATATACCCTCCATACTATGGTGGAGGGTATAAAAATATAAGGAGCAATAAAATCAAAAAATTTTGGACAAAACTTTTTTCATTTTTTCAAAAGATTTCATGTCAAAATTTCGCAAAATTTCGAAAGAATTTCTATTAAGAAATTGTAGAATTTTTTGTTAAAAAATCTCAAATTTTAAAGGCTCACAATTTTTGTGTGAAGTTGTTTTGAAAAGCTCTCGGGAAGGCGGAGGGCGTAAATATAGGCAAATGTTACCGGTCAAAAAGCAAAGGTAACTAAATAGGTTTGGATCGAAGGGGATATAATGATAAATAAATTATAGTGTTGTGATACCCTACATGGTCGACCCAGTTTAAGGATTTGTAAGCCAACTTCCCCAAAAATTTAGGATTTTTTGGAAATATTTCAAGAGCTTCCTGGCAAAAATAATGGATTTCTACAAATTGTATTAAACGACAAAATCATGAAGTTTATACAAAATTTTCAGGGTCTTATTGTAAAAGATGAAACATTTTTTTGAACATTTTCGAAGAGCCTTTAAGGAAAAGTACAGTTTTCAGGAGCTTCATGCCCAACAACGCTGACTTTTATTTATTTATTTTTTTTGCAAAATTTTCAAGGGTTTTCTAGAAAAAAAGATCGTGATAATTTAAAATTGTATGCCCAAAAATCGTGCAACTTCATTCAAACTTTTCAGAGATTTTCAGAGATTCTGAAAAAAATTGTAGATTTTTATAAAAATTTTCAAAAAGTTAAAATTACCAAAAAATCCTGGATTGAATGCAGACTCTTCGGCAAATCGACTTCATGCCCGAAAAATAGTAGATTTTAGGAATTTTGCATTACGAAATTTTTGTATCGACATTATGGCCAAAATCCTTTGATTTTTAAAATAACCGATTTTTTTTAATTTTTTTAAGACTTCTGGCTATAAACGCGTATTTTTATTCAAATTATTCAAGAGCTTAATGCCAAAAAAAAATCTTTGATTTTTAAGATTTTTTCCAAGGACATCCAGGACAACAAAAGTTGTGAAATTTAACAATTTTTTCCAAAAAATAGTGCATTTTATACAATTCGTTTAAGGTTTTTTTTTTTAATTTCATGGATTTTTAAGATTTTTTTTCAAGAACTTCCTTACCCAAACCCGAGGAGTTCTACGCTAATTTTTCAAGCTAAAAAATTTTAAATTTGTTTGAAACATGAATTTTTAAGATTAAATTTATGTACCCTCTCATCTAACATCGTGTATTTAAAAAAAAAAAAATCAATTACCTCCTTATCGAAATTCATGGTTTGTATGTATTTCAAGGACTTTTTTTTTTTCATTCAAAATGTCCAAAAGCTGTGGACATAAAAATTTCAAGGATTTAATGGTAAAGAATCGCAAAATCTTAAGATATTTTTCATAGGAAAACTTGTCTAGACCTCATGAATTTTTATGGGCTAAAATTTTGCCCAGATCTCTCTTTTGTCTGCAGGCAGTTCAAGTTCGAAGATGGGCTATATCGGTTCACGATATCGTATAGCCCCCGATAGCCGGTACTTTGATGATTTTAGCCATATTTTTCAATGGAATTATATGAAAATCTACACAATCAGTTCTCTAAGGGCACTTTATCTCTTGGCAGAAAATTATCTATATAGGTCCACGATATCGTATAGCCCCCATATAACGGTATCCCCGGATATTCGCGATTTTGATGATTTTAGCCACATTTTCCAATGGAATGGTCTGAAAATCCGCACAACGAGTTCCTTGTGAGCACTTTATTCATTGAAAGAGAATTATCTCTATAGGTCCATGATATCATATAGTCCACATATAACAGTACCCCCCCGATATTCGGTATTTTGATGATTTTAGCCACATTTTTGAACGGAATTGTCTTAAATTCTATGCAAGGAGTTACTTGACATAAATTTGTCTATATAGGTCCACAATATCGTTTATCCCCCCATATATCGGCACAATCCAAGATTTTAACAGAATTTTTAATGGATTTTATTTTTATTTTTTGAAAATGTCCTAATTCGTTCCAAACGGTCGAGGGTATTCAAAGTTCGGCCCCTCTCAAAAAAATCGTTAATTTTTTATGATTTTTGACATGGACTTCTTGAGATTTTTTTTTATTTTCAAGATTTTTTTTTAGGCGTTTCATTCTCAAAATTCGTGAATTTGTGAAATGATACCCATAATTCCCGTAATCTAAAATTGGGGGTTGAAGATGATTTTAAGATACCCATACATGGTCTATGGATAAATATCTGACGAAAAACCAACCGATACTTTCTAAATTCGTAAATTTTGAGTCGAAAATTTTAAGATATTTTTCATAGGAATACTTATTCAGACCTCATGAATTTTTATGCGTTTTTTTTTTCAAGTACTTCCTCCCAAAAAAACCGTTTATTTGTAAGATTTTTGACATGGACTTCTTGACATTTTTTTTATTTTCAAATTTTTTTTTTCAGTTGTGAATTTTTCGTGAATTTTTGAAATGATACCCATAATTTCCGTAGTCCAAAAATGGGGGTTGAAGATGATTTTAAGATACACATACATGGTCTAGGTATAAAATCTGACGAAATATCAACCGATACTTTCTAAATTCTTACATTTCTCAATCAAATCCCATTACAGGAGAGGTGTGGTTTTTCAAAATGGTATTTATATTTCAGTAAAAAAAAGTCTTTAAAGGGTTAATAGTCACAGTGTCAGAATTTTTCAATTTTATTATTTAATTTCCAATATTAATAAATTGTGTAAAACTAACCTTCATAAATTCAAAATTGTTGTAAATATTTCTCGTAAACGTTTAGTAAAATTTCTAAAATAAATATTTTTTTTTTTTTTTTTGTCGTTGCACTTCATTCAATTATTCACTCTCTTGGCGATGTTTTCAATTAAAATTATTGAATATTCATTTCGATATTAATTCAATTAATTTATCACACACAAAACAAAAACAGAAAACAACACAACAAAATGTTTGCAACATTTCACAACAACCGGACCGGATCGGACAGGTTTTGGAAATTCTCAGCAGGAGGAGAGTATAAGCACGCCAGCCCGATGATGGATGAAAGACACAACCTATTGGCGGACTGAATGAATGAATGAACAGACGATTGAATGCTATTTCGAATATTTTTCAAATATTTTTTTTTTTTTTTTTGGAACTTTACTAATTAATTTTTCACAATATTTGCTATAAACATTTCTTTCATCATTTTTGATGCTGCTTCCGCTCCATCTTCTTCTTTGGCGTTTCTTAATTTTGTTTGCTCTTTTGCGGGCGTTTATCAAAACTTTGCTGCGGATCAATTAATTATCAAAGCTAAATAGAAAATATTTTCCCCCCCCGCACAATAAATTCAATTAATCAGCGGCATTGGAGAGAGAGGGGGAGCGAGGGCGGGAGAGGGGTAGGACAGCCAATAATTTTCAATGGAAGCGCTTGAAACTTTTTAATCGATTCATTATGTTGCAGCGTGTTGACTGCTGACTGGCTGTCAATGATGATGATGAGCGGCTAATTTAGTGGTGACCTTGGCTTGTTGAGAAGCTCAATATTTCGAAATTATTTTTTATTGACACAAAACTTTGTTTTTCGGTTTTCAATAAATTTGTAATTGTTCGGAATTTTTTTTTTTTTTTTTTTTTTTTTTCAAAAATATTTTTTATTTGATATTTTCTTGAGCGTAGCACCCACGCCATACGGTGATCAACAAAAAAAGCGGCACTTTCGATTTTTTTACTTTCCGACAACTAAGAAACAAGATAGCCCAAAAACCGTTTAGGACCGTCGAAACAATTAGGCGTCTCGGAATTAAGCCAATACACGGACAATAAAACACCAAAAAATAAAAAACGAGATCGCCAGACAGACAACTTGCGATAGCAAAATGATGTTTATTACTGCAGTGGAAACAAGTGCGAGTAATTACACTGGCTGGCTTGTCCGACACGCTGCTGCTGCTGCCGCCGAGGAGGAGGAGAAGGAAAACGAAAAACAAACTTAAATATTCTCAACACTCTAGTTGTTTTTGTAAAACAATAAAACGTAATAGATACTTGTATCGCTGAGCTGAGGTGGGTGGTTGATGGCGGATAAAGGCAAAGATGAACAACAACGACGCGACCACTGCTGATATCTCGGCGATGATGCGATATGGGCAACGAGATAATGCCGCCTTGTTTTTATTTTCCCAAGAATTTGTTGTTTTTTTTTTTGTGGGGGGGGGGGGATTGAGATAAAATGCCGCAATATGAGTTAGCAAAATGTAGGATATGTCGGATTTTATAATTTTGCTTTTTTTTCTGAATTTATAAATAATAACTGTGATATATTTATAAAGAAATAAATTCAGGGGGATAATAGGGTGGGATAATAGAACCTATTTTGGAATTTAAAAAAAGGAGAATTTTTAAAGAATATTTTTTCAAAGACCAATAAATTTGGATTTTTGAAAGAATATTTTTTCAAGGAGCAAATAAACATGGATTTTTTAAAGAATAATTTTTTCAAGGAACAAATAAAAGTGGATTTTTTTAAAAAATATTTTTGCAAGGACCACCAAACGTGGATTTTTTTAAAGAATAATTTTTTCAAGGAACAAACAAGCGTGGACTTTTTAAAAAAATATTTTTTTCAAGGCCTAAATAAACGTGGATTTTTTAAAGAATATTTTTTTAAGGCCTAAATAAACGTGGATTTTTTAAAGAATAATTTTTTTCAAGGAACAAAGGACAAATAAACGTGGATTTTTTAAAGAATAATTTTTTTCAAGGAACAAAGGACAAATAAACGTGGATTTTTTAAGGAATAATTTTTTTCAAGGAACAAAGGACAAATAAACGTGGATTTTTTAAAGTATCAATTTTATACCCTCAGCCATATGGCTACAGAGGGTATATATCATTTGATACGGCCAAAACGTGCCTAGTCGAAATAACGGTTTTAGACCCTAGGTCTCTTTGGACCAAATCCGTTTCAGAACATTTGGAGTCGATCTAGCGATGTCCGTCCGTCCGTCTGTCTGTCTGTCTGTCTGGCTGGCTGGCTGGTGCGCACGATAACTCACGAAGGGAGTATCCGGTTTGGTCCAAATTGGCTACAACGTAATATTTTTGTCAAACTTAGATCGAGTTCGGAGATGGGCAATATCGGGCCACTCCTTCTGGTACCTCCCCCACAAAAGGTCGAAATTTTCAAAAAATATATTTTTTGCACAGGAAGAGAAAGGATAATCCGAATTTGCTCCAACTTTGCAAATCCTAATATTTGTGTCAGTGCTAGGTCAGGTGTGAAAATTGGCAATATCGGTCCACTCCATCAAGTACCTCCCCCACAAATGGTCAAAATTTTGAATAATTACAACTCTCATAAAATGTTATGTAAGAGTCCGATTGTCTTCAAATTTCACACATCCCAATATTTATATTAACCCAAGGTCTGGTGTTAAGATGAACAATATCGGCCCAGTCCTTCTGGTACCTCCCCCACAAAAGGTCGAAATTTTCAAAAAAAAAAAAAACAAATCTTTTGCACAGAAAGAGAAAGGCTAATCCGAATTTGCTCCGACTTTGCGAATCCTAATATTTGCGTCAGTGCTAGGACAGGTGTGAAGATGGACAATATCGGTCCACTCCATCAAGTACCTCCCTCACAAAATATTGAAATTTTGAGTACCCATGAAGCTCATAAATCGCCAAATTAAAATCCGATTCCATTTAGACTTGGCACATCTGTCGAAATATTTATATCATATTTTGGGTCCGATAGGAAATGGGCAATATTGGCCCATTCCTTCGGGATCTGCTCCATAGAGGGTCAAACGTTTGAATAACCTTAACACTAGTCAAAATATATTTAGATAATCGAACATAGGCTGAGGGTATATCTCTGGCGGCAATACCCTCTGATACTTTTTAACTTGTTTCAAGGATCAAAGGACAAATAAACGTGGATTTTTTAAAGAATCATTTTTTTTTTCAAGGAACAAATAAACGTGGAGTTTTTAAAGAATAATTTTTCAAGGAACAAATAAACGTGGAGTTTTTAAAGAATCATTTTTTCAAGGAACAAATAAACGTGGATTTTTTAAAGAACCAAATAAACGTGGATTTTTTAAAGAATAATTTTTTCAAGGAACAAATAAACGTGGATTTTTTAAAGAATAATTTTTTCAAGGACCAAAGTATAAATAAACGTGGATTTTTTAAAGAATAATTTTTTCAAGGACCAAATGATAAATAAACGTGGATTTTTTAAGATTACTCTTTTCAAGTGCCACATAACCAATAAACGTGGATTTTTAAAAATATTTTTTCAAGCATCAAAAGAGCAATAAACGTGGATTTTTTTTAAAAAAAAATATTTTTTCAAGCATCAAAAGAGCAATAAACGTGGATTTTTTTTAAAAAAAAATATTTTTGCAAGGACTTAAGAACAAATAAACGTGGATTTTTTTTAAAAAAAAATATTTTTGCAAGGACTTAAGAACAAATAAACGTGGATTTCTTAAAAAATATTTGTTCAAATTTAACTTTTTTAAGACTTTTTTAAGAAAACATTTTTATCAAGGACCACATAAATGTTAACTTTTTTAAAATATATATTTTTAAAAGAGAAGTAAATGTTGATTTTTATGTCCCCACCCATATGGGCCAAAACGTGTCTTATTGAAATAACGGTTTAAAATCTCTTTTGGCCTGTTTGGGCCGTTTTAGGACATTTGGAGTCGATCTAGTGATATCCAACGCTCCATCTGTCTGCCTGAATGTCTGGAGGGTTGATACGCACGACAATTCTCGAAAGAAGTATCTGATTGGTTTCAAACTTCCTACATCGTAATTTTATTCTCAATCCTTGATCGAGTTCGAAGATGAGCAATATCGGTCCACTCCATCAAGTACCTCCCCACAAAGGGTCAAAATTTTGAATAATTACAACTCTTATAAAATGTGATGTAAGAGTTCGATTATCTTCAAATTACACACATCACAATATTTTTATTAACCAAAGGTCTGATGTGAAGATGGAATATATCGGTCCACTCCTTCTAGGAACCTCCCCCACTTAGGTTCAGAATTTTGAATATCCAAGAAGCTCATAAAATGCGAAATTAACATCCTTTGCCATTCCGACTTGGTACATCTCAATAATTCCATAAACAAAAGATCTGTTATAAAGATGGTAGAGATCGGACTGGTACCTCCCCACAAAAGCCAGGGCTTTCGATGGTCATCAAAGAATATTTTAAATATTGCTCAATTTTTTTTTTTTTTTATTTTTCAATTGTTTTTTTACAATTTTCGCAAATTTTTGGAAGTGTTTATCTTCAATTCCTTTCAATGCAGAACTTACAACCACACACCTACAAATTGCATCTGGCCCTTAAGGCAAATGGTGATTGAAATAAATTATTCTTAATTTAAGCAATTTACATTAAGCCATAACAATTTATGCCGACGCTGCCACCACCAACGCACTTGAGAAGCCTCGTTTATGGCCTTATTCTATAATCTTGGCTATATCTCATTTAAATTTATTGCTTTGAAATGTTTGATCTCTCCTTGCAAGTGGTTGTATACATACAAATATATCTCTATATGAGAGAGAGAGAGAGACTGTGAAGGAGAGAGAGAGGAGAGCAAATACCACAAAATCTTAAGTAAACTTTAACAAATCAGAGCAATCGTTTAAGGCCTTTTGTGCATTTAGGTGGTAAAATGCAATTTAGAAAAATACAGCAACAAAAAAAAAATTATTTAACAAAGAAAATCTACTTTCGCTTTTTCTATTAACTCGCATTTTATTCAGAAAAAAAATTGTTATAAAAATAGTACAAAGAAGTCAAGACATGAAATTTTTTGCTAGTTAATCGTAAAACAAAGAAATTGTCGCAAGAAGTCATAGCCGAAGCCAGCCACGGAGAGTGTCGTTTACCTCTCGGGTTATCCAGCATTTAATGCAGTTGTTTTTGTTGCACGCCTGTCGAATAGACATGTGAGCAAACATAAATGTCAGTTTTATCAGCGGAGCCATCCATCCATCAGTTGGCCAGCCTTGTCAGCATATTTCGTGATGGGAAGCAGCATCATCAACAGCGGCAACAGCAACAGCATCACGGTGATGGAAATTTGTGATAAACGTTATAAATAACAACAACATGAATAAATTTATTGTAATCACATGAATTTAGGGGAATATATTCCAGGTCAAAATTTAAATGTTTTTGCTTTATTGATTTAAGGCATATTTTTAAGCGTGCTAATAAATATTCAAGAATATAAAATTTGGTGTTCCAAAATTATGCAGGTCAAAGCTATGCACAAAATATTTTTAAATATAATTTTTTAAACTAAAGCTGTAAGTTCGGCCGGGCCGAACTTTGAATACCCACCACCATTTGGCAATTTTCAAAAAAAAAAATAAAATAAATAAATTCCGTTAAAAATTCTGTTCAAATCTTAAAAATACGAAGACGTGGACCTGCATAGGCAAGTTTAGTCATAAGGCATTTAAAATATTCAAATGCGAAACTTAAAAAAATTAGTGAATATGGCCAAGGTTTGGTTAAAGGACGCGCGGTTATCATATGGCAACCGCTCCACTCGGAGACCTATAGGTCCATTGTGTTCATCCTAAAAGAATGTTAAGAAGAGAGGAAGAAGTG